CCTTTAAACTTACCACAAAACATATCAAATGCTTCCTGTTGAAGCCTGTAGTTATCGTCACACAACGTGTATTGGTACGCAAAGACGTTGCCGTCACGTTCGGGATTAGCGTTACGTTTCTGTAAATTTTTCATCTGTACACGCATATCCTCAGCGCTAAATCCTGTTACAAAAAAATATAAAGTTAGTTTAAAGTGGTAAATAGCCTTTCACAATAGCTTGCTAATTAAAAAGGTAAAATTAATTGGTTTTTCAGAAATTGTTCTTGGTGAGTTTACCTGATGAAAACAAACACTTATAGCTGTCTGCACCGAAATAATACAACTTTATAATGCTTGATTTAGAAATTGCTTTAAGGTTTAAAGAAGTTTGTTTGCTAATTTAATAACCAAGTAATACAGTTAGCTGTTTATATTTACGATAACTGAGTTTGATTCTGCATAATTTAATGAAATGTGAAAAAACATGAAAATTTAACCTTTGTGTTTTGCTTACATTTTCGTTTATACATATCAACAAAGATTTGATGCTTTATACGTTATATTTGCTTGTACTGCACATAATATATGTCTTGTTAATACCCGCTGCGCCAGCGTCAATGATTCGTCCAAATCAGGGACAAAATTATGTGATAAATATAATAAAACATATATAATAGCCATTACAACTTTATATCATTCATTACCATGAATCAATATAACTATATTATTCATAACCATGATTTAATATAACAATATTATTCATATAACTATATTATTCATAACCATGATTTAATTTAACTATATTATTCATAACCATGATTTAATATAACTATATTATTCATATCCAGGATTTAATATAACTATAACCTTACAACAGTATCTATCCAAACCAAGGGAGTGGGATGTAATAGGCCTATCTAAGATACGTGTTCTTACCTTTTTCCGGAATACGGACTTTAGCCTTGCTTTTAACAACATCTTGGGCTAGGCTTGTTGTATTCACGAAACTAGATACCTCATTCTTCAGGACTAGATCAATTATCGCCCTTACTCCAGGCAACTCTTTAAGAGCAAGGACAATAACTCTGAAGAACTGTTGCGGACCTTTCTTGTAATATATGCTGATAAGAACCGCAAGGACAATTGTAAACACGGTATGCTCGATAAATTCGATCATCGTTCTGCAAAATTAAAAAAAAAGGATTTAAGGTATAAGACCCCTCATGAAATCGACAATTATCGCCATATCTCGCCATTTATCGTAACGTACTTCGTTTTCTAACGAATAAAGTCGAAATTCTAATAATAACAGTAACCTCTAGACACTTGCAGAAAACATGATCACAAAATAGACAAATATCGTTTTTTTGTTGTTGTTGTTGTTTTTGTTGTTGTTGTTTTTTTTTTAAACGATGCTTACATTTTTCATTCATTATCGTATATAAATCGAGATGAATTAGACGTTTTAAAGTTCATTCCGTTGGGTTAAACGACGAGATTTAAACATTTTATCATATTTGTAAGCGCCTTGTCCGGTATATACCGGAATACCATATTTAGTGTGGTGCTCCCACTCAAAAAACAATTTACATAAAGTCAAATTTCTATAACATATTTGTATGACCTGTTTGAATATTCAAATTTTACAAAAAACTTATTTCTCACAGATTCATTTATTCAGTTATTTTTGAAAGATATTTGTAAGTAAAAAACACGATTCTTTTAGAATGATTGTTGTTTGAAAGTATGCTTAATTCAAATATCGTATATTGCAGCTTTTTACCAAAAATAGTATATTCGTGTATAGACACAATAAATATACAAAAGTAGGAATGGCAAAAATCTATAAAACGAAAACAGTTTGGTTTTCCACTTTCCGTTGGTCATTAAGTAAGCAACATTTAGAACTTTCAAAAGTTCATATAGTACGTTTCTAAAATGTTCTAAAATGAATTGACTTTAAGTTAAAAGCACCTGGTAAGTTTAAGCTTATATTAGGAGAACATGGTAAGAAACAGATCGTTACGTTTATAATGGTAAATATTTCCATACATTTGAATCATTTTAATGTAGTATCTTATACAATAATATAAAATTTAGGCAATTTCAATCTTAGTAAGGATTCAGATCTTTATGTCTTTTATCCAACGTATTCCCCAATGGCGTCATCAAAGGGCGACAACCCGTCTTAAAATTAATTTAAGAAATTTAAAAAATTAGAAATTAAATTTAAAATTTAAAAAATGTATTTAAAAGTTAAACTATTTTGAAGTGAACAAAGAAAGTAATTTAGACATTGAAACAGAACTGCACTTACAATGCACGTAAATTTTTCAAAAAAGTGGTCAATTTATGCAAAAATATAGCCCTCACTGCGTTAGTCACGCATTAAAAACATGGTGATAAATACTGCAAAATCAATAATAAATCTTTACTTGAATCTTGAATCTCTTTCATTTTATTAAATTTTTCTAAAGTTTGATTTTCTTTAAAATGTTTTGGCTTATCTGGAGGCCTGCAGCTTTAAGTTATAATTACAAGGTAAACGTAGCTATGATTTACATGTGTGGTTGTCGGAGAAGATATAATTATTCCAAAATTAAAACCTATAATTAAAATGTAAAAAGTAAAGTGCGATGATTTGTTAGAAAATATTTCCATATTATAACCGATCCAACAATTATATATTCAAGAAAATCGGTTTACTATCGCAATTTTTAGTCTCAGATTTAAAAAAAAAGACACACAAAAAAACAACAACAGTAAATGACTAGAACCACAAATCATGCTTTCTTGTAACCGATTACCGATAATAAGGTAGCCATGGAAATTAAGAAAGCCGACAAAATTTTCTGAGACATACCATGCATAAACGGAAAATAACGTAGATTTGTCGAATTGGATATATATTTATAGACGGACAATTAAGGCATTAAGTATATGAGTAACAGGAAAGTGGAAGTAAATTATGCATATTTGGAAAGTAACGTAGTTAATCTACACAAATTCATTACATCATCGCATAGATGTATCTTTACGAATCAGTTATGAATGACATACATTTATACTAACTCATGTCTTTATACAAACCTCCTGTCTGTACGATAACTCCCTATCTTTTTACTAACTGTCTGTCTTTATACTAACACTGTCTTTATAAAATGATAACTGCACGAGGTTTAAGGCTCACCATGATACATAAGTTTGATTATATACATATGTGTATAAAATTATAAACGGATAAGAAGAGATTGTATTCATGTATGTATATATTAATAACTGTGTGTGTAACCAATTGGCTTCTTGACATCTAGACTTATTTCGGTATACCAGTATATTACAACGCAGAATCTAACGCCCTGATATTTACGGTGTTCCGTTAGGGCCATCGCCTTAGAAAAATATGAAACGCGAAAAGTCGAAAGACGAAGGGACGAAGACGAATACGCGAAAACAAGAAGGGACGAAAACGCAAAAACACGAAAGGACGACGACTAAAACGCGGGAACATGATGACGGGAACACGATTATTATCAAATTGAATTTGTCAAGTTTTCGCATCGTGCTTTCGCGTTTTCGCCTCTTTGTGTTTTTCGTCTTCGTCACTTCGTGTTTTCGTCTTCGACCGATCGTATTTTTTACTTTTCGCGTTTCATATTTTTCATTTATCGGCGATGGCCCTAACGGAACACCGTAAATATAACCGGAACCTTGTGAGTAAGGTCAAAAATGAGAACAAATTTACTGAAGTTATTCAAATGTAGTTCCTGGTTGGCAAACAGTTTGCGACATAACTTTCAATGAGATCGTTACTTCGTATTTGTTCTACTCCGTTTAATTCTACTAATGAAAGAATGACATAATCTTTACTTACGTCAGTCATATGAAAATCCAGTCGGCCTAATTGGTAGGTTGACATGTCCAGTATGAATCCATACTGATTAAATATTTATACATTATCACATAAATTTAAAGATACACATAAATTATCAGTGATTAGATAAAACTCCGAGCCGATGTTTAAACAGTTTAAACAGGTCCGAAAGTAAAACTAAAATAAAAGTTAGCATATAATCCACCGCTATTTTGATCATTATCTGTTTAAAGTTTAAACGTTAATACACAGCGGTATTTATTAGCCAATTCTGTCAGAGTTACTGTTCTTTTCTACCATAAAATATTGAGGACAATATGAGATAATGATTCGGTTCCGGTAACACACCGTCCTGACTCTTTCTTTTACATATACGAGCAGCAGCATGGTTGTTTTGTTCGTGTTCTGCATGATAAATTTATAAGTATGAGATCAGATGTCACGGAGATAATTTCCCCTTGTCCCAGGATCAAACGGATAACAAATCGGATTTGTTGAGCTAAACAGACGACTAACCTTTATCGAATTATAGAACTCACAATTCACTTTATTTTGCTAATTTCTTATGTTATTTCCTTTTTACTAAATGAAAGAACTTGGTTAGACTGGTGACGTATAATTCGAATATGTTCTCTCATTAGTAACATTAGAAGAAGATTCAGACAATTAAAGATTACCCAGAAATAACGCACAAAAAAAGAGAAAAAAATATACAAAGAGGATATTTAAGTTGTTTCTATAAATTCAAGATGAAAATATATATTTCATGAGTGGCGATAGCCACAAGGGAAATATGATAATTTGTATACCACAAGATGAAAATAAATCCTGTATTTATAGAAAAAAATACTTGCATTTTTTGTTTAATATATACATTTCCTCTTTTTTTATGTTACAATTTGAAAGACTTCCCCTTTTGTGTATTGGCTATATTTAAGAGAAAGCAGTCCGGCAAGACACCCGTGAAAATACTGAATATATGTTTCACTGCAGTGAAACATATATTTTTATAGTGAAAATACGAAAAATGAAAACTACGCATTTTAATTCATCACAATTTCTCAATATTTCATTAAGTATATAATAAACCATTGACAACAAGGTCAAAAAAAGTAAATATGGTATATTTTAGAAACAAAAGTCAATATGATAATTGAAGGTTTTATTTTCATCATTCAGTGGTTATAACACAAACACAAATAGTTTCATATATTATTCCATCTATCCTACTATCACATTGCCATCATCCATTCTGAAATAAAGATATTTGAAAGTTTAACCATTACAGGCTAGATATCTTAAATGTACTTCATTATGGACTAAACCATTAATTATTTTTAGAGTGAAGCTCAAAACATTAACTGAATAAATGACGAACTGAATGAATTCCTAACTGAATTAATACCGAACTGACTAAATAGTGAACGGAATGAAAAGCTAACTTGATGAATAGTGAACTAAATTATTAGCTAACTGAATTAATAGCGAAATGAATTTATAGCGAACTGGATGAAAAAGCGAACTGAATAAATAGCAAACTGAATTAAATGCGAACTGAATTAATAGCATATTGAATGAAAAGCAAAATGAATGAAAAGCGAACTGAATAAATATCGAACTGAATTTCTTGTTGGTGCAAATTGATGACATCTGTATTTGGGGCATTGATATGTAAGTTGGCGCAAATTAAGTAGTCCGAACTTCTTATACTCATTTTTTACAATTATCAATATTGTAGTTAGCGAACTATTTTTGATATTACTTTGTTAATCATTTTTTACAATTTCTTGAAAAAATAAAATATAACTTATGTCTATTTTCATTGTTCTCGTCATGTGCAATTAATAATGTTAATGTAGTCGTTTTACAATACATGTATTTAAATGGTTCGTTTATGTCAGTGTTTGAAAAATAAATCAATGAAAAACTAAATAGTTTTTATGTCCTCCATTTTTAGGCATTTCGCTAAAATTTCATGTATTCTACAAAACAAGCAGCTTTGAAAATAATATGAGTGTTGGTGAATGCGTTAAATGCACGTCGGTCCATTTACAAACGTGTTAACAAATGTTTTTTTTTTTCTTCAACTCCAAACGCAAGTAAGAAGCTTAAGGCACTGCAAGCTCTGCTGTGGGAAACTAAATTAACAAATAAATGCACGATAGCAAATACCTTAATATTCACATATTCGTCATATAATAAGAAATGTTAGCATGTTTTTTCGTGATCACAAATTATGATGTGGTTATGGACCCTAGACGTCACACAGCTACTCTGTCAAAATTATTGAGATTATATCTAATTACGGAAAACTGTAATTTAAATAAAAATAATACATTAATCAAACTTACGGTTTTTCGCAGACATAATTACATTGTTGATGACAATCGTAGTCCGCCCATTTCCAGTTCCAGTCGCCCCAGTACGTGAGACAGTCCTCGTCGAGATGTAAGGGGATACTGTTCGGTTCACCTGGTCCCCAGTCGGTGAATGTGACAGGTTCGTCTGTACCGTACCACAGAAACTGACCTTCCACCACGTCATCTGACGCGCCCATCCAGACACTGGCCCCAGACACTGTCATTATAATAATATTGTTTAAAAGAGTTGGAGACGTTGTTGTATTTCCATCAAAGTAAAAATCATTAAGTAAAATGATACTGGATGGAAATGTTGTATTTAAAAGGGAAATATTGTTTTCGATGGAAATATAGTTTCCGAAGGAAACATTGTATTTAATTAAGGGAAATTTTGTATTAAAGGAAATATTGTTTCCGAGGGAAATATTGTATTTAAGGGAAATATTGATTTCTAGGGAAATATTGTATTCAAGGGAAATATTGTAATGAAGGGAAATGTTGTATTCAATGGAAATGTTGTATTCCAGGGAAAATATGTTGTATTCAAGGGGAAATATTGTATTAAGGGAAATATTGTTTTCTAGGGAAATATTGTATTCAAGGGAAATATTGTATTCGAGGGAAATATTGTATTTAAGGGAAATATTGTTTTCGATGGACATATTGTTACCTCGAAACATAATTTATCATACTGAACATGGTCAGAACTATTTTTCTTTAATCAATATCATTTTCGACTTAAAATAAGAGTGTACGCGTTTGCCGTATTACAGAAAATGTCTTTTTTGTTATTTAAATTTCAAAAGACAAATAATTAGATATTTATATAAAACGTGACATATACTTGTTTAACTGCACCAGTCCTGTTCTTCTGTAATAAAAATCATTGTTTGTAATCGCGGGCTTAGTTCGATTGAGCCTATCTATGAATGGGAGAAAGACCGGGCTTGGTTCGATTGAGCTATCTATGTATGGGAGAAGTCAAAGCAAGCTCTAACACCGACGTAATCAAAATCTGTTGCACTATTCTTTAAATATTTCGTTCCATGATACGGTAGGTAAGTTTGACACTGAATTAATTTATGAGCTTACCGCCGCCTAGTCCTTGCGAAATTAATCCTTTAACGAAAATATTTTCAGCATTGTCCTCTACATGGACTAGATATGCTTGATGTCCGGCACATAACAACTGTAAGAAAAGAGGGTAAACTATTTCATACCTTAAGTCAAACTTGATATGCACCTTCGAAAAATACCACATCTTTCAAACAGTAAAATGTTCTAGTCAACTTTTAACTTTGAAATTTATACATTTAAAAGATAATCGATTTGAGAGATTTTGTCAAATCTGTAGACTGTTTTTACGTATATATCAATTTAGGGAACATTGCAAGATATTTATTACGAGGCTAAATTGATAAGATTGGAAGCACATTGGTTGCATTGTGATTGTCTTTCATAAACATGTTTGTTAATAACTAAGTATATTATATACACTACTGGAATAATTATTAATATTTTATATACAAACCCTTGATAACTCAAAGTATTTTTAAAAAGTATAGTATATACACACAGTTATATTTGTCTTTAGGATATACTCACCTGAGATTCAATCCAGTTATATTTGTCTTTAGGATATACACACCTGAGATTCAATTCAGTTGTATTTGTCTTTAGGATATACACACCTGAGATTCAATTCAGTTATATTTGTCTTTAGGATATACACACCTGAGATTCAATCCAGTCATATTTGTCTTTAGGATATACACACCTGAGATTCAATTCAGTTATATTTGTCTTTAGGATATACACACCTGAGATTCAATCCAGTCATATTTGTCTTTAGGATATACACATCTGAGATTCGATCCTGTTATATTTGTCTTTAGGATATACACACCTGAGATTCAATCCAGTTATATTTGTCTTTAGGATTAAAGAGATAGCAGGATTCGTCGTGATGTATCCAACCTTTCGGACAGTCTGAATAAACCTGGCCTATAGTAGATAGATATTGTTGTATGCTTTTTGGTGAGATACTAAACTATATCGATTAGATATAACTCTTATATAACCCAGTGAAATATAGAATTTTGAAACGGAATATAGATTTTCATGACGTCATGGAAATGTCATATAGATATGAAGAAACTGCGCATTCTTTGTCCTATTATTTGTATTACTACAGACTAGTTTTAATATATATAAAAAACAATATACTTATGGAATACGAACAAATAACGATTAAAAAATAAGTTGCCTTTGTTTAAACATATCTTACAATACGACATCAGTATTTATCAATATTTTCATTATTTTCAACATTGTTCTGCGTGCGTCTTTTTGTGAGATTTATCACATACCCGTGTCGTTTTTGAAGTCCGTCAAAATGGTGTTGCACGCCCGTGCATATAATTTGGCGTGACGTCACTTGCGTTATACAAACGCGCTAAATGATAACGTTACACTATAGGTGCGCCATTGAAAAATGATTCTTTTTCACTTTAAACAAACTTTATTTTGGGTATGTGATAAATACAGGAACATTATATTCGTGAAGGTTCATTCCTGAAATAATTGAACTTGTTGAATAAAATAGTTTTATGTTCGCTAGAACTTTTTCAATAAATTCAGTATTGAACTTACACTCTATATATTCCATATTCACTGAACTATATTTTATGATTATGATTTCATAAGATCACAATGTATTCAGGTAACAACGTGAAATTTAACGGAACAATCACCATGACGTGGTTTCTAGATAACCTTGAAAGTTCTTAAATTCATTTCGCATTGGTATCAAAAGAACTTCAAAAATAATGTATTCTACACTTTATTGCTCCAATCAAGTTTCATAGAAATGTTTTAAGTATACAATATTCGTAAATCTTATAAACAATTTTACCTAAAGCTATAGCTATAAGTAAGTATAATAAAACTCCGTTATTCGCCATTTCTGTGTACAGACAAAAACATTGGCACAGTTAGATAAGGATTGGTTCGTATTGTTTTACAGATAGATAATGACCTTAAATTAATATTACGTTATTCTGTCCTCATTCCTCAACTGTACAAAAATAAAAAAATAAAAATAAAAAACATAGCATATTTCACTCCGACAAAATACATACATTCAAATAAAATTAAACATCTTATAATTATCAAAGTTTACATTATTTAGTAGCAAAGTAATGATACAAATACATCTTTGGATTGTATGAATGAAAGGAAATAAAGTAATTTTACTAACAAGATAACATTTTTTTATAATTTTATCAGAAGATTCGGTTGATTTAATTCCTTAAGTATAGTAAAGTGAAAGCATGCAAATTTATGATCAAATTATCAGACCAATTCAAATCCAGTTAGACCGAGAGAGCACCATATAATTATTCAGATTTGATTAAACTGTATAAAATTTATACATCTGCTGCCAAAAACCAAGTGTTTAAAGTTTTAAAAAAGAACACAGTTAACATCCAAAATGCTTTAATGAAATAAATTTGGTAGTTATAAATTGCCTTAAAAAGGGAATGAAAGTGAATGGCGCATGCACAAAATCAATCATTATAAAGGGATTAAACCCTACCTATTTGTTTCAGAACATTTTATTTCATTTGCATACAATATTCATGTGTTTTAAATAGCAGAGACATTCTATGTTACAACTCTTCCGTTAAAACCAATTCAATTTTACACTTAATAAACTTGATTTTTATCTCTTCAAAATATTTTTCTTAATTTGGTAGAATCTAACAGGCACTCGAACGAAAGTGACGTCATCTATAACGTCATAACGTCAATAACCTGCTTGTACATGGGATAAAATCTACTTTGAGTTAATTTATATAATCAACTTTTCAGTATAATATATTTCAGTTGATTAAAAAACCATCTAATATGGATACTCAAACATTACGAAATTGCCAGTATTTTTATTCATATGATAAAATCTACGTTATATTTATTTAAATCTAATAAGAAACGTAATTGAGCCGCGTCATGACAAAACCAACACAGTGCGTCTGCGACCAGCATGGATCCAGACCAGCCTGCGCATCCGCGCAGTCTGATCAGGATCCATGCCGTTCGCTTACCAACTCTATTACAAGTAGAGAAAACTGATAGCGAACAGCATGGATCCTGATCACACTGCGCGGATGCTTAGGCTGGTCTGGATCCATGCTGGTCGCAAACCCATTATGTTGGTTTTGTCGTGACGCGGATCATTTATTGATTTTATTGAATCTCCAGTTAAGATATTAATCGATAAATCAACAGGCTGCAATGATATCCGGAGAAGACAAGTGTTCACAGGATGTATTTCAAGTGATATAGAATACATGACATGTTTCAACAGTCAACTATGACGTATGTAGGGTTAAGTATTATTATACTTATGTATGTATCATACTAATGTATGAAACATAGGGCGGCATGGCCGAATAGTTATCGCGTCGGATCAGTAATCTTATGATTGCTAGCCACATGGGTTCAAACCCCGTCAGGGGCAAGTCGTTGTTTACTTGAGCAAGAAACTTTACACTCATTGCTCAGTTCTGTTTGGCCATAAGCTTATAGCTTCCTACACAATCGAACTAAAATAAAAACTGTATAAGCCAAACATAAAGCGGATCTAGATCTAGGGTTCAATGATAGGCACCGGTCTAGTAATCCTGAGGTCTCATGTCTTTATCTTCCTTTCTTCTAGTAGCAAAAGGAATGGTCTTTCGAACGATACTTTAAAGCTACACGCCTACAGATAAGTCAAAATATTTCAAGGAAAACAACCTTGAGAAAAGTGTACTAAAATTTTAAGAAATGAACCAAGAATCAAGTACTAATTTACATATTATGTGCGATAAATTACTGATTGTGCAGTCTTTATATTATGTTTTATCTCTACTGCGTGACTTACGCATTGAGGGCTATTTTTGTACATGATCTATTTTTTCTTCTTTTTTTGTAACTTACGTCGATTTTAAGCGCCGATTGCAATTATAAGTAAATAAAGACCTTTCTTTGTTCATTTCACAATACTTTACTTTTAAATAACTTTTTTTTAATTTTCATGAAAATCAGCTTGAATCTGGTATGCTGCTTTAAAAGACAAGGTCCCCATGTATCGTGTTCTATGGCGTGCATGTAAAAGAAATGGGGACACCTTTGTAATGGCCTTATTCAGTCTGTGCTTTAGCCATGCATTTACTCCAGAAAATTACACTTCTATAATAGTATAGCGTCGCTATAATTAATAAATTGCGATATTGAATAAACGAAACGGAAACAAATGCATAACATTACTATACATCTATGTTGGGAATTAAAAAAGTCGGCAATATACCAATAGTATAAAGCCTAGTCACGCAGGCCTTGGCAGAGGTTTATCAGTTACTGTTGCAGCAAGCGTGCAGCAAGCGTTCGTTGGAAAACGTATACCTGGTTCAGACATACTGTAACTATAGTCAAGTACTACAATTTTAAACAGTGTGAACATTTTCCGAATACTTATAAAATCAGTTACTAGATCAAATAACTAAGTCATATTATACACTTAATATATTTCCTTTCGGTAAATGTTTCTCATTATTTAGTAAAATTACTAGTGAAACAACTTTCCAATTGTATGCAAGGATAATTTACCTTCATATATGAATATATACAGGATCAAAATAGCAGTTATTCAAAGGTAGCTTTATATAATTCAACAACTTTAATATATTGTTTTTTTTAACTGACTTCACATTTTGTTTGTTGTTTTAATTCATAAATATTTGGCAATATTCGTTTACGTTATGTATTATTTGCGTTTAATGTTTCGTTTCTGTTTCTATTTTTTTTTGTCTATTTATTTATTTCCTATTTCATTTAATGTATTTATTTCTCAAAGTTATATAATCTTTAAATTTTGCTTTACATTGTTACACCGACAACGTATATTGAGTTATTATGATTTAAATTTAAAATTAAATTTAATGTGAATACTATTTCGATACGAATAGCAAGTTGTAAGTTTCAGCATTCGTTACGTAGCTTCTTATAAACACTTCATAAATTAAAGGGGTCAGTTGTCTTTCTGTTAATCTGTCTCATAATCAACCATTCAAGGGCTCTTGGGTTCCAGTCCCTCTGGCATTTCAATCATGTTTCTTCAAATAACACCTGTACTGGTAAGGTTCAGGTGATCCGAACACTAACCCTAACCGTGCGCTGTTTTTAGCTCACCAGAGCCAAAGGTCAGGGTGAGCTATTCGTATCAAAGGGGGATGCTCCGGCGTCCGTCATCCGTCGTCATGCGTCAACAATCGTCTTCTTCTCTGAAACTACTAAGCAAATTTACTTCAAATTTGGTCTGTAGCATCCTTGTGACAGTCACACTTGAATTTGCTCATGTCATTCCAGCTGAGCTAAAAATAGAAAAACCTTAAAACATCTTCTTCTACAGAACTAATGGATGGATGATCACCAAACTTTGTCTGTAGCATTATTGGGTAGTCTTTTATCAAGTTTGCTCATATTAATTAGATTGGCCCCTTTTAGGGGTCAGCAGAGCTAAAAATAAAAAAAACTTTAAACGTCTATTTCTAGAGAACTAATTGATGGATGATCACCAAACTTTGTCTGTAGCATTCTTAGGTAGTCTTTTATCAAGTTTGCTCATATTATTTTGATTGGCCCCTTTTAGGGGTCTCTAGGACTAAAAATAGAAAAACCTTTAAACATCTTCTCCTACAGAACTAATGGATGGATGATCACCAAACTTTGTCTGTAGCATTCTTGGGTAATTCTTTATCAAGTTTGCTCATATTAATTTGATTGGCCCCTTTTAGGGGCCGCTAAAGCTAAAAAAATAGAAATACCGTTAAATGTCTATTTCTAATGAACTAATTGATGGATGATCACCAAACCTTGTCTGTAGCATTCTTGGGTAGTCTTTTATCAAGTTTGCTAATATTATTCTGATAGGCCCCTTTTAGGGGCCTCTAAAATTAAAAATAGAAATACGTTTAAACATCTTCTCCTACAGAACTAATTAATGGATGATCACCAAACTTTGTCTGTAGCATTCTTGGGTACTCTTTTATCAAGTTTGCTTATATTAATTTGATTAGCCCCTTTTAGGGGCCACTAAAGCTAAAAATAGAAAAAAACCTCGAACATCATTTCCTACTGAAGAAATTGATAGATGATCACCGAACTTTGTAGCATTCTTAGGTAGTCTTTTATCAAGTTTGCTCATATTTATTTGATTAGCCCCGTTTAAGCTAAAGCTTAAATACCCCAGGTCATGGCATTTCTTTAAATTATTGTTTTAACATATTCTATGCTCAAATTTAATATTAGAATATATTGACATTGCAACACTGAGAAGCAGTTGTTTCTGGTGAGCGACTCAGGGCCACCATGACCCTCTTGTTAAAGATTGAGCTTAAATAAATACTGTTCAGTTAAAATGGTTCAAATTGGTTTCTTAAAAAGTTTATTATAACACTTCGTTATGTATATCATTGTAAACGATATCCCAATGCTGTCACATCGGACACATAAAATAATTTTATAATTTGTCAAACGTCAAATTCTTTCAATATCACCTAGAACTTTCCCAGCATCATAAGTACAATTCCGTTTGTCTTCAAATATTTAATGGGCCGACTACGACGCCGAAGATTGATGTTTCTTTATTTTTAAGACTTACAAAAAGACCCCTGTAATAGACCCTTGGTATAGTCAGAAACTGTTTTAACTATTTCTTAAATCATATATGAAATAACTGCTTTTTGTTTGAGTCCAAGACAATTACTCACTCACCTGAGTGACTTGTTATCTCGGAAAATTTTCCTATAATAATTTGTGTTGTTTAATTCCCTTCCGTTATTTTCTCTCCCCTGAAAATTTCCCCTTCCCCACCCACCCCTCGTTATTTTCACTCAACAAAAGATTCCCCTTTCGTTTTTTTCTTGCATATCAGACTGGTGTTTCCATTTGTTTTTCCCATGCTGGAAATTTCATCTGACTAGGTGAGGGGGGTGCCAGATGAGTCGCGTGCTATACGAAAACATGCTTAGGATGACGTAATTTTGCCGTTATGAATGAAGTTATAATTTCATACTCCGTTGTAAGAAAATAGTTTCGGGTGTAATGACATAAATTTCCATGAAAAATTGTTTTATATAGGTAAAGAATTGAAGATAGTATGGTAGAATATGCAAGACAAAATATATGACATATGCTCACGGTTCGGAACATCCGCCCCTCGGGAACCCGCCCATGGACGGTAACTCGGAAAGCCTCGTTTCCGCCACCGCAAAATATGAAAATTATTATTAATCTAACTTCGGACAATAAACTTTCCGTTCTTTTCTCACTTCAGTTTTAAAAAAAAATCGATCAGGATTAAAGGTCGGGGTATTGTCTAGGACGTTTGTTATGTCCCATCTTATCCATGTACACTCAATACGATATATCTGTGTATTTCAGGTGTAAATGTATAACCAAAATACAACAATATGACGACTAATTCATCAAACGTATCCCTTCTCGAGGACAAACTCTTGCAGGATGCCCATCAAAGAATTGTTAGAGAGCACATCCCGTTAATTGTGTTCTTGTTTATAATGTCCGTGCTAGGCATCATCGGCAATATTCTGACAATCATTTTCTACGGGTACAGGGTAAAAATGACGTCTACAATTACTTTAATTCGGCTGCTGGCTATAGAAGATCTTATCGTATGTTTTCTATTGTTTACAACGATTGCTGATCTCTTCGTTAACATACTCTTTACGGACAGTATCGTCTGTAAAGTGATGTACTTCTTCGACCACTGGTTCGTTGTTTCGTCCGTGTTTACTTTATGGATCATCTCTATTGATAGATATAGACGGATGTGTCAGCCACTTAAATCACAATTAACTGTGAAAACTGCAACAATATCGGTCATTGTGACATCTATATTCTCAATGATATTTTCCTCTCACGATTTTATCACATACACTGCTGTAGAAGTTAATATTTCTACTTTCGACGCATCACATCCGTATGTAACTGGCCATTACTGTACAAATACAGACAGCCCTGATCTGCAGACGGTCGTCATCATCTTCCACGTCTTAGACGCGCTGACCATCTTCGCGTGTTTGTTAACATTTGTCTTTACGTATGGTAATATTTGGCGGGCACTTCGAGCACACAACAGAAATACAATACATTTGCACACGTCACCCATCCTTCTCCTCGCGACATAGCACATCTGATTTCAACAGTAAAGTATTAAAAACAGCGTTGACGATACTGAAAAAGACAAGAAGGAACCTGAGACTTTGCTTAACAAACAATCTGTTCATTTTAGTCTGAGCAGCAATTTGAATAATTCGCAACCATCCATTGGTGATATAATCAATGAGACAAAACCTATGGCAACAGATAAACATAAGCAAAGACGATCTTCTTCTAAATCTTCAAAGACGAGTAGATCAGAACGGAGTCTCACTATTATGATGTTTGCAGTCACAATCGGTTTTGTCGTCTGCTTCACCCCATACTTTATAGTTAATGTCGCTATAAGAGTATCCTCTGAAACAACCGAGGACGAACTTCGAACAATAATTGAGTTTGCCTTGAGGTCTCCATTCTGGAACAGTGTCATAAACCCTATTATATTCTGTGTATTCAATACCCAAAATACAGACCGTTATGTGAAAAAATGTCTTTTTTCTAAATGCCCAAGGAAACAACCCAAAACAAACCCTTAAACCCGTAGCCAAGGGTGATTAAAAAAGATTTTGGATATAAAAACACTTTTAAAAGGACGATTCCAGTACAAAAATTTAAAATTTAAATTAAATTTTTTCCCCTTACCCAAAACTCAATTGAATACCATTTCATATGTTTGAATATTTATTTTGATTTTAACGCCGATTTCAACAAATAACATTTTGTATATACTCGTAACATTAATTCATACATTTGGACGAAAACTTTCATTATATCATCTTGTGATGAACAAAGACTTAAAAAGTATCAGCAAAAGCCATGAAGTGAAGAACCTGTTTACAGGACACATCCTTAAATAATTCAATTGCATAATAAATTGAAAACATTGGAACTGTTGAGAATCAGCGAAGTATTAAGACACAGAATAATTGACTCTGCTTTTCTGGATTTTGAAATCTAATTTATTTAATGTGTTGATACGCCAATGCGCACGAGCGTCTGAATTGTACAAAATTGTCCAAAACGTTTTTTAAAAAAGGATTTTTATGGTGTATGTACAGTTGTGTGCCGATTGGTTCCAGGGTCTGTCTTGTGGTCATGCCTGATCCGAAGTTTAACAGGGCTGCATTCCGTGAACGGCTTTCTCCCTTGTTCATCTCTGTATTCATATTTGTCTAAATTCTAGCGAGAAATGTTTCTAATGTTCTTTCTATCTGGTATCAGAATGTGGGAACAACTTTGTATTGTATTAAAAGTTTTTTTTTCAGCCCAATTTAAATCATATTTTCAAATGAAGATTTTAATTTAATTCATTATTTTGGCAATTAATTTGGTTTATCAAAAACTCTTTCAAAAAGTGGTATCTCAGATAATCCTTCTAGTTATAAAGGTATTTCCATCGTTTTGTATACTGCTAATCTCTTAAAATCATTCTAGAAAACAAAACTTCAACAGTCTTTAGGCTTAACAATGTTATTAAATTTTTAAAAAAAACCTTAATCAAGATCAAGTGATCATATGTTTAACTCAAGAACAATTAATCAAAAGGATTATGGTAAAAATGTGACTAACCCTGTTTGCCTGTTTTCTTGATTTCGAAGCCCTACACTCGGCACTTTTGTTAATATACATAAGATTGGGGTCGATGGTATTTTTCTTTTCAATATCTTACAAAGCGTGCATGGTAATATTTTTTGCATACAATCTGGTCATATAATCTCTGAAAATTTAAGTGTAACAGTTGGTGTTGAACAAGGTGATGATATAATCCCAAATCTGTCTAAGATATACAATAACGATCTGCCAGACATCTTTAACCTTTTTACTACAATAGGGACGGCTTTATCCGTCCCTGTTATTTTCGGCGTATTTGCCATATGGACGGCTTTAGCCGTTTCTATAATAATAATAGTAATAATAATAAATTAATAATAATAATAATAAAAATAATAATAAATATAAAGAAAATTATACCATCGACAATAATTATTATTATACTAACAGATTTGGAAACATATATAATTATTATAATACTAATAACAAATAATAATAATTATATTAATTAATAATATAGTAATCACTTTGAAAACCACCTGGAAAATAGATGATCAATAAAACAATAACCCTCTGGCAGCGAAAGGGTTAAAGTTTCTCATGATGATCCACCAGAAATAAACAATGGACTTATATCATATCTCATATATGCTGATTTATAAAGCTGTTTTAATAAATCGTCAATGTAATGTGAAAAAAAAAATGTCTTACTTGCAACCTAAATAAAACTGAGGCTATTGTGTTCTGTAATGAAATGTCCCCTAAAAATATAAGTAGGAAACTATTTGTATAAATCTTGAAATATTATTCTCATAATTATAATGTGTAAAAATATCTACAAGAGAGGTTTGTGAGCTAAGTTTAAGCTTAATCTAATTTTATTTATTTTTTTCAAAATGAACGTTATTTTCGGTGTTTATTCTAGAAGGGGGGTGGGGGATTCACTCATATTTTTGAGAACAACCCCATATTTTTTCCGAGGCCGGGGGAAATTTTACATAGAGAAAGAAGGAAAAAGATGAACAAATGTAATAAATTCTCATTTTTCGATAATTACGAATTCTAGAATAGACACTGAATTTAATTCATATCCATCGCCAAATTTTCATCAGAGAATAACCCTTTGCCTTTGTCAAGAGAGTTTCAGTACATTTGACAAAAAGGGTACCGTTATGGAAATACACCGTGGGTAAAGAACAACTTGCTTAACGATTTTGTAAATAAAATAAATTGTGTATCGCAGCTTGATTGTATGCAAGTTTGTGTCGTATATCCATTAGGTTGATACATACATGTATGAAGCTCCTCCTATTTTATAGTCTGTCCCATTCAAAATGGGAATGAATATTTGCCTGGTATAGATTAACAAAACGAGGTAGAGTTATAAATAAACCACTTTTGTAAACCCCCCAAAAATCTCCCTCGAGACTTTTTCATGATATTTCTCTAAATACTTACTTAATTCTCTTGCAAAAGCAAAGTTTTATTTCTCTACGACAATATCTTGTAGTTTTTTTGTATTTTGTCTTTTTTTTCTTTTTTTGTTTTTGTTTCGTTTTGTTTTTTTTTGTTGTTTTTTGTTGTGATTGTTTAGCTATTGCCGAATCACTCTTCATTTGAAGTTTGAAGTTGTAACTATCCTGATTAGTTATCGTACGGCTAGAACCTATTGATGTCTATTATATAATATGTTTCCGCATACATATTTAGAAGAATGCAAACAACCACTTCAGAACTACTTGATGTCTTGCGTATGTTTCCATTGTGAACAGACAGACACGATTTCCGATAGAAAGCACGATGATAAAAAAAAAAAACAAATGCTAATTTTTTTTAATAATTTCAAAACTGATTTTAAAGGCCAATTATTCCTTACACATACTATCATTTTTAATACAAATGTATTTTTTTTTTTTTTTTTTTTTTTTTTTTTTTTTTTTTTTTTTTTTTTTTTGGTATCTTGCTACAGTTTCCAAAAATTTACTCATTTGCTACACATAGTTGTATTGATTGTCTAAACCCTAATCCTACATTTAAATACTGCTACCTTGGTGACGCACTACTACTGCTCGTTTAGTGCTATTTTTCTCAGTTGTTTAACATCTAATATGCTATAAATCCATTATTAGAACATTATTAAACACATGTTTATAGAATATGAAAAACATATGAATTTTTGAGACATAATATGCCTTTAATGATAATTATGAGTCATTTTATTATCTTATGATGATTAATAGATGAAATAGATAATCAATAAAGAAATGAGGGAAATGAAGATAATTGTTCGTATACAATGACTAATACAAGGAAGGTGCCACTATAATAACGGCCTTGGTTAAACTTCCCGAGATCACTTAAAACTGTGATTTAATTCCAGTGTTTATACACATAATTATACGTTTTCATCCTTTTCAAGTAGGTTTTACATTATCAAAATAAACTGATGGAAAATTTGAGATAATAAACTGGAACTGTATGTACGTGTTTGTTTATTGTAAGTTATACGTTTTAGCCTTTCATATTTCATTTTAAAATTATGTTATACATGTATAATCTTTATTCTAATTTTAAATTTTAAACAAAATTAAAATATATGAAGTTTGATATTTTTTTAGAAATGATTAATTGGAAAAGGTACTAATACCTACCAATGTAATGTCTACTATAATAATTACCGCTGCAGTCATACTATATTTATTATACAAAAAAAATCAAGCTTGTTTCATCTTGTTTGTTCTTGTTATCACCGTCGGGTTTTTTATGTTTATTTCTAGTTCTTATGTAGAAGATAATCTATTTGTACGACTGCTAAATTATGAAAGGTGAGACCAACAGAAGTTGACATTCACTAAACGTAACCCCTAACATTCATATTACTAATAAAAGTTAGATAAATCTGGATGTTATGTAAACTATATGAAATTCCCATGTCTATACTTTTTTTAGAAAAAAAATGTATTTTCAGATTGTGTGATTGTTTTTTACTTCTGAAAGATATCAGTAATTATATATATGAGACGCGTATGACAAAACCAGCATAATGCGTTTGCGACCAGTATGGATCCAGACCAGCCTGCGCATCCGCGCAGTCTGATCAGGATCAATGCTGTCCGCTATCAGTTTCTCTACTTTCCTGATCAGACTGCGCAAATGCGCAGGCTGGCCTGGATCCATGCTGGTCGCAAATGCATTATGTTTGTTTTGTCATGGTCCGGCTCATATAAACTATTTACAGTTTGTCGGTATGTTCTATATTCTAACAACGCACTGATGCAATGCTAGCCAACATCCAACGATCAGAAATAGATAGCCAAAACCTTCCAAAAGAAATATTAAAAAAAACTAATCCAACGTCATTTTGATGTTACTTTATATTCTTTGCGGTCAGTTATTGTTGACTATATCAACTCGAGAGAAGAATAAGTACTGAAACAGTTATATCATGCAAAATCAGACTAAGAAAGTGCGATCTGCAAATATAAATACCACGACATTTTCGTAACCTCTATGACCGTTCAGCACGGCATTTTTCTGATCCACTTTCAAAAGGGCACATTCTTTTACTTGGGGACCACATGCTACTTTTCATGGAATGGCATGAATGTGTCTCATTGAAGGTTCCATGATCCCCGCCGTATGAACACATCTGCAGATGTTTCTAAATTCAAAATTTTATCATTACATGTTTGAATGGTGAATACTGCCGGTGCTAGGGGCGTGGACGATAGCTTGCTATATCCAGTACCTAATGAAAGAGAGTTATGCGTATTCGTTTACAAATAATGCCAACTAAAATCCAGCTTGTTACATTTCCAACAACAAGCATGCTCGGTCCAACTCATAAGTTCAAATTTTAACTTCACGTTGATAAGAGCCAGTTATCATCATCAGCATCATTGTGACCGACAGTTATGTGTTACCCTTTTTAATTTAATACTGTACGATGAATTTCTATCTTCTAGATTGACATGATGAAAGATGACGCAAAATAGTAGCTATACCAACTTGACGTTATCGTCAAAGTGGGACGAACTTTTACAAGAAGCACATCGAAAGAAAGTATTAGAATATATGCCACTGATAGTTGTACTGTTTGTGCTAGTAGTTGTCGGACTGATCGGGAACATTCTGACAATATTATTCTATGGATTTAAAATAAAGAAAACGCCTACGTTTGTACTGATATTGCTTCTGGCAATAGTTGACCTCATTGTCTGCTGTCTGGCATTCACAACTATCGCAGATCTGTGTGTTAATATTATGTTTACAAGTGAAATTCTTTGTAAATGTATGTATTTCTTGGATCACTGGTTGATGTTGTCATCCGTTCTAATTCTCTGGATAATATCCATTCATAGGTATAGAAGGATCTGCAAACCATTGGGAAGACAATTGGATGAGAGATCAGCAAAGATTGTTGTTGTCATGACAACTACGTTGTCAATGGTATATTGTATACATGTTTTCATCATTTACAAACCTGTGAAGTTAAACATATCAACTTCAGATGATTCTGTTCCAATAGTAGTTGGACATTATTGCACGAATACCGATGACCCGGACATTAGAGATGTTCTCATTACCTTTCATATCATTGACATAGTCTCTATATTGTTCTGCTTCGCGACATTTGTGTTTACTTATGGAAACATATGGCGCACGGTTAGACGACACACTAGAACAGCGACAACACTCAAGCAGGCTGTTCCATCAAGTTCAACTGTAAAACGTACAATACCTATTCAAAACAACTTGGAGCAGACAAGTACTGTCAGCTCTAAAGACAATATATCAACGGAGACAACAACAACCCAGATGCAAATGAGTAATATCACAACTCTAGGAGTTTCGTTAAGACAGGGAAACGATCTTGGTCAGTCGGTGGGAGATTCTGAAAACGAATCTACAACATCAGTACCTAAAGATAACCAAAATAAGTTCAAATCTCAAAATGCTCAGAAGGATCTGTCTTCATCTAAAGCTTCAGAAGATCAAAAAGTGCATGCCGCTTCAAAGTCTTCAACAACGTTAACACGTGAACGTAATATAACGTTGATGATGTTCGCCGTCACAGTTGGACTCGTTGTTTGTTTCACACCGTACTTTATTGGTACTGTAGGAACAAGAGCGTTGTCATCAACAAACGAATCAGAACTTAACATTGGAAATGAGTTGGCACTTCGATTTCCCTTTTTTAACAGTATTATAAACCCAATAATTTTCTGTGTGTTTAATCCGCAATATAGGAGGTACGTGCTAGGTAAACTAGCGGCTTGTCTTCTAAGGAGGAAGTAAAAGACTATCTTGTATGAGTCTTTGTGATAAAAATCTACTATAACTTTATGGTGCCTTGAAACTAAAATACTAACTCATCAACAAACTAGTTTGTTGGTATGGGACTATATTATATCTATTATAATAACCTATTTGGGCACACTTCTATATTGTACATATTTTACTTTTTGACAAACGAAATCACTGTACCACGACTTGCAAGGATATACTATGCAATGTGCGGTTACAAGCACCTGTTACTTCCTGTAACTGTCCCTTTCTTAGGACCTAATATACATGTATATTTTGATTTGTTTGTTTCTGAGAGTTGACTCGTTTATCCGCTTTGTATTCCATACATATTTCCTTTTCTTGACCTGAAAATGTTTTTCAACACCACTCCTTATTTTCAACGTAAGTTGAAAATCACTTATAATAATTGATGTTCCTATAAAAATGAACAGCGACAAATTACATGAGATTTATTGATATTCTAGATTGAACTGGTGGAACCTTGAGTATATCCAGCAATAGAACGTTCAATAGATAAACAGGTAGAAACTTCCTCAAATGAAAGAATAAATGAAGTCGTATGTGGGACTCGAGCCCTACGCAACGGTGAGCAGCAAGTAGTTTGAAATCATTGATTTCATAATCAGTCGATCAGGAAAGCTTTTACAATATCCGAAGAGCGTAACGTTTCATCGTATGCAAGCTCCACGTTGACACTGGTGATTGTAACAAATACGACTTCAAACGAAAATTTACTGTATCTGTCCAATGTTTTAAAACTACGTTTGATTTGTTCACTTCAATAGAAAACCAGAAAACTAGTTTCAATGTAGATCCATACACCTCGGTAAATATCACCGATTTGGACTTTTCTGATCAATTTTCAACGGATTATTTTTAAAGATTTTTTTAACTTATTGATTTTTGACACATGCAACACACGTGGTTCAATCAATTGTTTAATTACTTGTGTCTTTTTTTAATTCATTTCTTTGATACATACATATTTATATGTAATGTTTCATAATTTCAATATCTAAAGTCGCATAATGAGTGATTGGCAAGCACAAAAACATAGTAGTAAAATCTGCAAAATATAATAAAAAAATGTTAAATTAAGATTTGAAACAACTACCTTCAATTTTAAACTGAAAGTCTAAACTCTTTTGTTACTGAGGCTAGTTAGGCAGTGTTTGTGTTAGTAACATTAAGGTATATATTAACCATGTATACCGTCACACCATACTTTAAAATCCGTTTTACTTAGGAGTCCGATAATTACCAACAAAAGGTCATTGAATATTTCTATCAGAACTTCGATTTCTTTATGTTGGCACAATTTAAATGAAAGTGATAGCATTGAAAGTGGTAGACACTATGATATCCCACGAGAACAGATTTTGTAAATCATGTAATATGTCAAAAACAAAAATCGAAGATGAAAACCATTTTTAATGGTCCACATTTCAGACTTTTGAGAAATAGATATGTTTATTGCTATCAATTGCCGACTTTGAATAAATTTGATTCTGTTATATCGTATTAGAGTTATATATGTGTAATGATGCGTATATGTATATTTATCATTCCTTATGATGCTTCCATGTTTTTCTGAAATTAAAATTTCGTTCCAAAAAACAATCTCTTCTCTTTTTAGACTGTAAAAATTGCATTTTGTTGTTATCGTTATTTCTTCTCTTTTTATACTGTAAAAATTGCATTTTGTTGCTGTTGTTGTTGTTTTTGTTGTTATTTTTTTCCCTATATTCTTTTTTCACACTGTATATTGGATCTGTATCGGCTATAAACATTGTTTTAACATGTTTAATTCTGAAAAAATTCGTATTCGAATATTCAAGATTGCAAACAATATTGAAATCATAATTATCGGGGATGGAGTCCTAACTTGATCTCCTTCCTGATAATTTTAATTATCGGTCAGCTTGTACGTGCATGCTCTACGGATAACAGGATGGTTCAATGCGTACTTTGTATTGATTTATTCTTAATATCTTTGTTTTAATAACTGACGTCGAAAATGTTTGTACCCGTTAATTTATATTATCACGAAGAGCCTATATAAATTGATATTTCGACGTGGATACGGAGTAAAAGATAGAAGCGTTCATTCGATAAACATATACGGAGCAGACGAACAAAACAAAATGTTCACTATCAGTGGGGTTCTTATTACATGGCTATCTATGTTAAGGTAGGTGTTCTGATTGTCTTTTTGTAATTGTTGTTATTGTTTCATTTCTAGAGTATTTCTTTATTCTGTTTTTTATTTCTATTATTAGTGTTATTATTATTATTATTATTATTATTATCATTATTATTATTATTATCATTATTATCATTATTATTATTATTATTATTATCATTATCATTATTATATTCTATCATTATATCATTATTATTATTATTATTATTATTATTATTATTATTATTATTATTTAAAATACATAACAGCAAAAAAAGTAATAAAATACATAACATAAAAAAGTAGATATTATTAAATCTCCATCTTTTGTAGAAGTTCCAATTATTCTAATGTCCCATGCCAAATTGCTCTGTCAGAAAATGCCGATGAAAAGCCGTGAGATCTAACAAACAAAGCAAATGAATGAAATAATCACTTGATGTTCAGAACATGTCATATGGTCTTAAGGTCAATAAAAGTGAATGTCATAATAGTTAAATGACATAATTAAAAAAGTTGCAGATTTTGTGTGAACAAGAGTGCCTGTGAATGGCATTGACATATATTAAATACTTTCTTTAGCTGAACACTGCGCAATATTAGCAAAACACCACGCTATACCAGTTACATTCTTAGCAGAACACTACCATTTTTGCAGCAGACTAGTCATAAAACGAAAAGGGTGTTTAATGGCAGTAGAACTTACTGCATATCAACTTTTATAGAACGACTTAAGGATAAACTGATAATTTAAATATTTATTTATTTTCTTTTATTTCAGTTTCACAGATGGCAAACCAGTCTCGACATTCACCGATGGTAACGTTACATTAGAAGAGGTAATTGGACGTAATTTTACAAACATGGCAGAAGGGATCATCTTTACTGAGAACGCCCACGACAATAAATCGGAAGAGTCAATTGTCTTCTTTGCTGCGGGCACAGACGCTTGTGACGAGACTACGGATCAAGAAGGTGCAGGAAAAGTAAATATCGCCATAGGCGTTCTACTGTTCTCTGCTGATAACATAGTGGATGAAAATCCAAGCGTAGATTACAGCTTTGAAGAAGAAGATACAAAGAAACAAAACATAATGATAGAAAAGCTGTTCAGCAACAAAGAAACAAAGCAACGACAACATAAACACAAGAAACATCATCACAATGGCAGAAAATTCGCACACTGGCCATCTGATTTTAAAAAAAAAACTGCAGAGCTCTAAAAGCTGACTCAGTCTTGATATTCAAGATTGGTAGAATTTGTCTATGTTGTGAATTTATGTATGTATCAATAAAATATTCCAAATGAGTAAAATATTGTTTATTTTTCTTTTCGGTATAAGCCAATAAACAAATGTGATACTGTGTTTTAATATAAGTGTAGCACTTTGTCTGCAACGAGTTTATCAAGCTAGATAATCAACATTTTTTTTTATCTCGTAGCACTTACGGAATCCATTATATAGAGAATAGTGAATGAGTGTAGGTTTAATACTGAATTTTTTGAACGAGAGGCTTTCATAATATTATTTATTCAACATGTTTAATAAATTCAGTATTGAACAATATCCTTTATATATTAAATTTTATGCGGGCCTCTAAACCTACACGAATATATAACTTAACTGAAAGTGGTTTTGCCATCAAACTTTAATGATCTTAAAAACTAGAAATAATGGTAGACTTATTTTTCTTGTATCATTATACATGTAACAAGAAAAACCGGGATCGCTCACCTGAGATACATTGCTAAAAAGGTCACACTTTTTATTTCTCATATTGGGTTTGTTATTTCTAACTAAGCTGCATTATAAGGTGATGTTACATGCAAAAGTATCTTAACTCTGGAAATTGTATTTTCAGAGAAGAAGAATTTTAGTACAAGTCTATGATAACTAAGTGACCCCCGGGCGAATCCATTTAAGGCCCTGGGAATATTAATTACAAGATTATGAAAATTTTGTAGAGGTTCACATAGACAATGATGCATTCAAAATATCTAAGGTCAAGGCAAAGGAAGAGGACTGAGATACATTTTCCTATACAAATAATTATGAACTAAGTGGCCTCAAGGGAGTTGGCCACCTTTGAATAAAGTGGTATGATTTTTATATGCTTTTTGAAGAGGACTTTAATGTGATTCTTCATATCCCGTATCTGGGCTCTTGGCATTGTACATTCAGAGAAGATGATTTAAGACATATTTACTATTCTTGTCTATATTTAATAAGTGCTCCTCCCCTGGGTTTGGCGATTTTCTGACCCTAGTAGAGTTATTTATATCAGTTATGTATAATTAATCTACTATGTTAAGCTACGTGCCAAATACATAAGCTCTTGCAATTGTATTTTATCAGAAAATACCTAAGTTATTTCCTTTTTAAGTCCATATCAACGAAAGTGAACGGGGCATGATTTATATAACTTTTGAAGAGGACGATAAGGTGATGTTACATGCCAAATATCTAAGATCTAGGCAATGTAGTTTCTGAGGAGAAGGTTTTAAAAAATATTTTACTAACAAGACAACATAAATTAAGGGCAAGGGTCCCATGGCAAGATCAATTTAACCCAAGGGACATGATATATATAATATTGTATATTTAAGTAGGATGTCACTTGGCATTGAAGTTTCATCAAACTAAGAAGACTAAAATGTATTTTCAATTTAAACCTATGTAAATTAAGTGACCCCTATTTCATGGCCAATTTTAACACCAGGGACATGATTTTATAATGTGATTTTTCATGCTAAGTATTTAAGATCTCAGCATCGTAGTTTCAGAGAAGAACATTTCAAATATTTCATTTTTAAAGCTTTCAGCTCATGTTACCTACTTATGCATCAGACTGGAGCCGTTTTTTAAGGAATATCAAAATATCATTCCTGTGAAGTTTAGTCATATTTCATCGAGTGGTTTAAGTGATGTCTTTCAAAGAAATTGTGAACAACGACGAACGACGAACAAATTATCATTTTCTGAGCACAAGTGTCCATGTGAGTTAGAACGACATACATATAAACAGAACAGAACAGAACATATAAATTATTTTGAATTAAGCAAATACAACTCATCTTCATATACAACAAATATACAACAAATATACACATGACTGTATGAATATGAAAAATGGTAAACGGATATCAATAAATTAAATAAACTAGTGAGAGTGTAATACAAAACACATGTAATATCCTCAATACAACAAGGTGCTCTTACATATCGTTATCCGGCAAAGACTTAAATTTTTTGTGACAACATGGTCCTCCTATCGTTATTGACATCTTTGTAAAGAAATCATCGCCTAATGAGTCGAGACGAGCAGCAAGCAAGAATTTAACGTCTGAATTAACTTGCATTTTGTCGGACAATTTTTAAGAGAAATTATATTATATTCAAGGAAAGCCTGACATCAAACTAGAAAATGTATAGTATTGATATTTGTATTCTATATGTTTTTTTTTCATGAAAGATATTAAAACTTGTATTAATTGTTTTAATTATCTTTTTACCAACGGGCTGTACGAACGTTTGTTAGATGAGAGACAGTCCAAGCACGAGGACTTATAAATCTTTGTCCAAAATATGTTCATCTAAATGTCATGTTACGTTTTCAAAAGCATTTACATGGTGAATATCAATATCGGCATCCTATTTGCGACTATCTATTACTATTTGTCTTCTATTCAAAGATTATCCAAAGAACATATCAGGTGCACGACCTGGATGCGGCGAAACATTGCGATATTGTGTACAAGTAGCTTATAGTCGAGTTGCAGTAATTGGGAAATGGTCACACTCCTTATAAGGACACAGTTACGACATTCTTTTGTTCCATAGTATATTTTTTACTCGACATACCCCTTTTATCAGTAGAATGAACATTTACTGGATTTGTGTCCATCGCCCGATTGTTTTCATAAAAGAATGATTTGTACTGAAAAGATGGTACTGTTTTAGTAAATTTAGCAATAAGTTACCGATATGGATATTCGCCGTGATTTAGTTATTCATGTTATTCATATATTTTGATTTAACTGTTATTTGCTGACGATATGGCCATCTTAGGCAAGTCACCATTGGAACTGCAAAACCATTTGGATATTTTACATTCATATTGCTCTACATGGGGATTAAAAGTAAATACAAGCAAAACAAAAGTAATGGTTTTTCAAAAACGAGGGGGGTTATTACAAAATGAGAACTGGACCTATGATGGCTAAATTTTAGAAGTTGTGAATGATTTTAATTATTTAGTACTGTATTTAATTATACAGGTAATTTTTCGCTTAACCAAGAACACTTGGTAGGGAAAGCTTTAAAAGCTCTTAATGTTTTGTTTTATAATTGTAAAAAGTTTGGTCTCGAACCTAAAATATTATGTCCATTATTTGATGCTTTCATTGGGTCTATTTTAGGATACGGGTCTGAAATTTAGGGATACACGAAATCTAAAGAATTCGAAAGAATCCACTTAAAATTTTGTAAACGTTTGCTTAATGTTAGAGCAATTACTTGTTCTGCTGCAGTTTATGGTGAGTTGGGGCGTTATCCGCTGTATGTGACTCGTTACGTTAGAATTGTCAAGTTTTGGTGTAAGTTGAAAAACACTGATAATATTGTTTTAAAATCTATGTATGAAGATGGTTTATTGGATTGTAATAAAGGACACCGCAAAAGGGTTTCAAATGTTAAAAAAATTACTCTGTAATTATGGTTTTGCTGAAATTTTTAATGAAAATTGCGTTGATGCAAAAGTGTTCCGTATCATTTTTAAACGCAGAGTTATAGACACTTTTATTCAAGAATGGACAGCTACGTTAGAACGTGGCCCAGTTTTGTTTAATTACAAAAAACTTAAGCTTAATTTTGGTTATGAAAGTTATCTTGATATTCTGCCTCGTAAATATAGATATTATTTTTGTAAATTAAGATTATCTGTACATCCTTTAAGAATACAGCCTGGGAGATTCAATAGGAATAATACACCTCGTGATCAACGATATTGTTTATGTTGCAATACATTTGACATAGAAGATGAATACCATTTTATATGTGTATGCCCTTGTTTTAATAGTCTTCGAATGCAGTATCTTAAAAAATGTTATTATATTAGACCATCTGTGTTTAAATTTATAGATCTACTTTCAACGCAAAATAAAAGTATTTTAATTAAGTTATCTAAATATATCCATGATTCTTTATCGTTGAGAAACGCAACCATTAACTCTTAACAAAAACTGATTTGTAATTATCATCTTGCATAAAGTTTGTCCTCTTTAATCATTGCTTATTTATTTAAGAATGTTTATAATTTGTATGTTTTCGTATGCCATATGACTATGTTTAATCAAATCTTTTGTTAAACAAGACGATGTACCTATGTATAAGTCTGTAAATAAAATTCTGTTCTGTTCTGTTTTGTTCATGTTAGGCTTGCACACTAACCAATATGATTACAGAAATAGTTTTTCGTTGGTTGTACAGGTCAAAACTCAGGTGTGACAATCAAAACATTATAAGTAAAAACTAAATACCGGAGGGTTGTATATTTGTGAGCATACATGCATCTGTATATGTTTCTGATTTGGTGCCGAGACCCGTTTGTTGGTCGTAAAACTTTGAATTTGAATTTTAGTTATCGGTCAGCCTTTACGTGCATGGCGGGATTGTTAGCAGGATGGTTCAATGCGTACTTTGTATTGATTTATTCTTAATATCTTTGTTTTAATAACTTACGTCGAAAATGTTTGTACCCGTTAATTTCTATTATCACGAAGAGCCTATATAACTTAACATTTCGACGTGGATACAGAGTAAAAGACAGAAGCGTTCATTCGATTAACAGCTACGTATACGGAGTAGACGAACAAAACAAAATGTTCACAATCAGTGGAGTTCTTATTACATGGCTTGTTATGTTAAGGTAGGTGTTCTTTATGATTGTCTATTTGTTGTTGTTGTTGTTTCATTTCTAGAGTATTTCTTAATTCTGTTTGTTGTTTTTATTTTATTTATTTACTTATTGTATTTATATCATTATTATTATTATTATCATTATTATTATCATTATTTTATCATTATTTTTATTATTATTATTATTATTATTATTATTATTATTATTATTATTATTATTATTGTAATTATTATTATTATTATAACCAAAAGAGCATAACAGCAAAAAAGTAATAAGATACATAACATAAAAAAGTAGATAAATATATATCCATCTTTTGTAGAAGTTCCCCTTATTCTAATGTACACAGCCAAATTGCTCTGTCAGAAAATGCCAATGAA